CCTGTGCCAACTCCAAACGAATGTCTCCTGGGCCCACCACCATATCTGACACCACATGTAATCAATAATTTATTCATCAAATGAAAGAAAGAAAAGAAGCAAAGAAGGAAAAGGAAAGGAGAAAGAATAAATAAATAAATAAATAAATAAATAAAAGAAACTTTTAACCATATGCATCAAGAGAAAAAGAGAAAGGACCCAAATAAAATTGGAAATGGAAGAGGAGTGACTATGGACTCCACAGAAATACAGATGATTATAAAATACCACAAGCAATTATATGCCAATAAGTTGGACAATCTGGAAGAAATGGATGCATTCCTAGAAATATATATATATATCTCCCAAGACTAAGTCAAGAAGAAACAGAAAATCTGAACCAACCAATTACCACCAATGAAACCGAATCAGTCATCAAAAAACTCCCCAAAAACAAAAGTTCTGGACTGGATGACTTCATGGGTGAATTTTATCAAACATTCAAAGAAGAATTTATACCTATTCTTCTTAAACTATTTCAAAAAATTCAAAAGGTGGGAAGACTTCCTAACTCTTTTTACAAGGGCACCATTACCCTCATTCCAAAACCAGACAAAGACATTAAGAAAAAAGAAAACTATAGGCCAATAGCCCTGATGAACATAGATGCAAAAATCTTCAAAATATCAGCAAAACGAATTCAGCAATACATTTAAAAGATCATGTACCATGATCAAGTGGGATTTATTCCTGGGATGCAAGGTTGATTCAATATTCACAAATCGATTGTTGTGATAAACCACATAAACAAAATGAAAGATAAAAATCACATGATCATATCAATAGATGCAGAAAAAGCATTCAAAGAGATCCAGCATCAAATTATGATAAAAACTCTCAGCAAAGCAGAAACAGAAGAAACATACCTCAACACAATAAAGGCCATATATGACAAATCCACAGCTAACATCATGCTCAACAAGGAAAAGCTAAACGCATTTTCTTTAAGATCAGAAGAAAGACAATGCTGTCCACTTTCACCATTTTTATTCAACATAGTACTGGAAATCTTAGCCACAGCAATCAGACTAGAAAAAGAAATAAAAAACATCCAAATTGGAAAAGAAGAAGTAAAACTGTCATTATTTGCACATGACATGAAGTATATCAAGAACCCTAAAGATTCCACCAAAAAATTATTAAAACTGATAAATGAATTCAGTAAAGTAGGAAAATACAAAACTAACATTTAGAAATCAGTTGCATTTTTATACACCAAAAATGAACTATCAGAAAGAGAAATTAAGAAAACAATCCCATTTATAATTGCATCAAAAAAATACCTATGAACAAATTTAACCAAGGAGGTAAAAGACTTGTATTCAGAAAGTTATATCACTGAAGAAAGAAATTGAAGAAGATAAATAAATGGAAGCACATTTCATACTCATGCATAGAAAGAATTAACATCTTTAAAATGTCCATACTACCCAAAGCAATCTTAAGTTCATTGCAATCCCTATCAAAATACCGATGGCATTTTTCACAGAACTAGAACAAATAATTCAAAAATTTAAATAGAACCATGAAATATTCCAAATAGCCATGGCAATATTGAGAAAGAAGAACAAAGTTGGAGATATTACATTACCTGATATCAAACTATACTACAAGGCTATAGTAATCAAAAAAGCATGGTACTGGCACAAAAACAGACATATAGATCAATGTAAGAGAATAGAAAGCCCTGAAATAAACCCACACCTGTAAGGTCATTTAATCTATGACAAAGCAGGCAAGAATATACAGTGGGGTAGAGACAATCTACTCAATGAATAGTATTGGGAAAACTGGACAAATACATGCAAAAAAATAAAACTGGACCACCTTCTTACACCATATACAAGAATAAACTCAAAATGAATTAAAGACTTAAATATAAGATCTGAAACTGTAAAACTCTCAAAAGAAAACAGGCAGTAAATTCTCTGATATTGTTCTTGGTAAAATTTTTTCTGATATATCTCCTCGGACAAGGGAAACAAAAGAAAAAATAAGCAAATGGGACTACATCAAACTAAAAGGGTTTTACACAGCAAAAGAAACCATCAGCAAAATGTAAAGACAACCTACTGAATGATACATCTGATAAGGGGTTAATATCCAAAATCTGTTAAGAATTCACACAGCTCAAAACCAGAAAAAAAAAAAAAAACCAACAATCCAATTCAAAAATGAGTAGAAGACCTACATAGGCATTTCTCCAAAGAAGATACAGAGATGGCCAATAGACATATGAAAAGATATTCAACGTCACTAATCATCAAAGAAATGCAAATTAAAACCACAATGAAATATCACCTCACATCGGGCTATCATCAGTAAACCAAAAACAACATGCTGACGAGGATGTGAAGAAAAGAGAACTCTTGTGCACTGTTGGTGAAATTATAAATTGGTACAGCCACTATGGAAAACAGTTTGGAAGTTCCTGAAAATATCAAAAATAGAACTACCTTACAACACAGCAATTGCATTTCTGGGTATTTATGCAAAGTTCAAAATACTAATTCTAAAAGATATATGCCTCCCTATGTTCATTGCAGCTTTATTTACAATAGCCAAGATATGGAAGCAATCTAAGTGCTTATCGATAGACAATTGGATAAAGAAGATGTGATACTTATATACAATGGAATATTTCTCAGCCATAAAAAAAATTAAATCTTACGATTTGCAATGACATGGATGGACCCTGAGGGTATTATGCTAAGTGAAAAAGTCCCATAGAGAAAGACAAATACCATATGATTTCACTTGTATGTGGAATCTAAAGAACAAAATAATTGAACGAACAAAACAGAAACAGACTCATATATACAGAGAACAAACTAGTGATTGCCAGATGGGAGGGAGCTTGGAGGCCTGGGTGAGAAAGGTAAAGGGATTAAAAATTACAAATTAGTAGTTACCAAATAGTCACAGGAATGTGAAGTACAGCATATGGAATATAGTCAATAATATTGTAATAGCCATGTATAGTGCCAAGTGGGTACCAAAGTAATAGGGGAGATCACTTCGTAAATTATATAAATGTGTAACTACTATGCTGTACACCTGAAACTATTATAAATAATATTAAATGTCAACTCTAATTAAATATAAAAAAAAGTTAACATTTTTTTAAAAAATTTAAAGCAAAGCCATAAAGTTTAGTAAAATACTATAAAATATATATAAATAAAACAATTAGGCCACATAAATAAAAGTTATGTAAAAGTAAGAACTTCGAGGTTAAACAAGGTTTAAGTCAATAATTAACATAAGAGAGGTAAATTAAGTAAAAATTTTAAAATGTTAAAAGATTTTGAGTAAATTAGCTCAATCTTGGACATATACACGTCCTATTATCCAATTATTCCACTCTTAAGTATGTACCCAACAGAAACATGTGTATATGTCCAACTTTAGATGTGTACATGTGTTTATTCATAATAGCTAGAAACTATCCAAAAGTCCATTATCAGTAGAATGGATAAATAAATTGTGGTATATTTACACAATGGAGTTCTACACAATAATAAAAGTGAACTATAAGTACACACAACATGAATTCAGGAATATATTGAGTGAAAGAAGCAGTAACAAAACAACATATATGTATGATTCCACTTCCTAAAAGTCCAACCAATAGGCCAAACTCATCTAGGATCTTAGGATCTGGACAGAGGTTGCCTTTAAGGGCTCCTCACTTGTATCATGGAGGTAAGAGTTGCTGGTTTAATAGGGTTGTTATGATGACCAAATGAGATAAATAGGGCAGCAAGCCAGTGCCAGGCACTCAGTCAGTGCTCAGTGATGTTAGATCTGCAAAACCAAATACTTCTGGCTTCCCTCTTTTTAGCGTAACAATTTAAACACCTTTAATCCTTCCATTCCTTCCTCCCATCTCCCTCTGGCCTCTCAGGCATATTTGAGATTTTTGCTTGTATGTTTATTCTTGCCCTTTGGAAATCCTCTCTCAAGTTTCTAGTATGACTATGCTAGTGGGATTTATCCCTGGGGAGGAGACCAACTAGTCCAATGGTACACTCTCAACCCATATCCACTCCCCATTTCTGATCCAGCATATACCTTCTCTGCTCAACAATGAGTCACATGAAGAAAGACACCATAGGTCTCATCCCACCAGCAATGAGCACATGGAAGGTTCCTGAACTCTCTGAAGAAAAGTCCCCTCAGTCAGTCTGAGGCTGCTGTCCTTGGAAAGGTCTGCTTGCAAAGTTGGCTTTGGCTGGAGTCA